AGCCCCTCACTGGGGGATTCTAGGCAGGGGCTCTACCACTGAGCCACATCCTTTGCCCTTCACTGAGGAATTGTAATAGCAGGAACACTAGGAGCTACACCCTCAGCCTTAGATAAATGTGTTTGTTTTCTATCTGTGGCTAAAGGCAAATGCCTTGTTCTAGGTCATGAGAATTATTGACGGGGCAGGTTATTTTCTGCATATTTTATCTTCTTTAGTCTTAGGAGGTAAGTACTATGATGACGTGTATGTTACAGATAAAGAAATGCAAAGAGCCGATTCCCCAGCCTGCTGAGGTTTAGGATTTGCCTGTTCACAAACAAGACCTGTGCCCTCTCCTGGTAGCCTTGGAAACTACAATAGCTGGAGTAAAGTTTACAGCATTCCCAAACCTTGGTTTCCTTACTTGTGAAAGACGGAACTGGCAGCAACTATGCACAACAGATGTTATAGGAATCGATGAGGTAAAAGGACAAAAGTAACTGGTTACGTGGCACAAACCCAGAATCCAAACACTAGAGGGGATATAGGCGACAGGATCAAAAGTTCTATGCCAACTTGGTCTACATGGTAAGAAACTACCTCAATAAAAACAAAGGAAATGGTGGACTGGGTTGGAGGCATATCTCAGTGGTAGAGCCCCTGCCTAGAATCCCCCAGTGAGGAGCTGGGGGCATGGCTCAGTGGTAGAGCCCCTGCCTAGAATCCCCCAGTGAGGGACTGGGGGCGTGGCTCAGCGGTAGAGAGCTTTTCTAGTCTTAACAAGGACCTAAGTTCATTCCTCAGCAATGAAAAATGAAACTACCCACATTTTTCTCATTATCATTCTCTTGCGGGTTTGGAACCCAGAACTAAGTGCCTTCACCACAAAACCTGCCTACAAGAACTGTTACTATCTCGTGGTGATTGTTGTTTCTTTCATGGACTGTAAATGAAGGAGACTTAAATTGGCTTGAGATGGCGCCTAGAGATGTCCAGAGGGATGTGTGACTTGGTCGTGGGGACACCTGAGCTTCCCTGTACTAAGGATACAGAATCTAGCTTGACCTAGAATCTTTAGAGATCTCCTCCCTCTCCCCCTCCTGCTGGCCTAATTAAGCATCCACCCCTCGCACAAAGCTCCATCCACCGGGCCTCAGGTGACATCGCAGGATCCCCAGGCTTTCTGGGGTCTGGCCGTGGCTCTGACACAGTGCACGTGAAGGAGACCATTTTGTCTAGCTGGGGAGGCAGAATTTTCAGTTCATCATAGCAGAGGCTGCCAGCTTCTCACTTTGGAACTATTCTCTCTGACCAGTCTTGACATCATTCGGAGGCATCAACAAACCCAAAGGAAAGACTACACTTCCCAGAGTCCCTTGCAACCAGGACAAAAAAAAAAAACAACAACAAACCGACAGCCATTCGGGTACTTGGGATAATTGAGAAACTGAAAGACCCGCGCTAAGGAAGATAAAAGTCTAATGCTGATGACATTGTGGGGACTCCACTGTACCCTCAACAATGGACTTCTGAGCATCATTTTAAAAAATGTGTGAGATAACTAATCCTAGATCCATTTAAGCTACTTTTACGATGTCAACTCTATTTAGTTTCTCTAATACCTTTTAAATTTTTTCTGAGATACTTTCTCATGTAAGTCAGGCTGGTCTTAAACTTTGTTGGGCAGACAGGGCTATGTCTTGAATTCCTGACCTCCCTGCCTCCAGCTCTGCTGGACACCCATCACCGTGTTCAGTTGCGTTCTTGATGTAATGGATGAGGTCCAGAAAGTGCTGGACAGTCCCTTGAGAAACACCATTCTCTGAGGAGAAGTAATCCTGCCTTAGGTGAGGGTGAAGGCAGAAGTTACCCAGTGAGGCGGGTCTTTTCCTACTCCACACTTTCTGGAGCGGTCCGGTCCTTAGCCACCTGGGGAACAGGATACACTGCCGCGTGAACTGCACACCTATGCAAAGGTGCCAGGCCCTGACCTGGAGCAGAGGATGTGTGGGCAAAGCATCCCTAGGTGCGCATGCGCCCAGCCTGGGCTTGCTCTAGGGTGAGTACCAAAGCAAGGGACGGTAGCTGCGCTTGGCCTGCCTGGCGGCGGTAGAAGGAGAGGCTGACAACCACGTGCGTTCATTGGGACGTTTATAGACGGGGCAGCTCTCCCACAGCTCGGCACTAAGTCTATATGGAGGCAGGATGGCAGGACCATGGCCCGCATCCGTGCTGCGGGTGAACGGTCCTGGGCTCAGGGGCGGATGCGGGGAGATGCTGCTAGGGCACGTTTTTCTCCAGGTCTCAGCGGCCTGCGCTGCTGCTGAAGAGGCGGCGGTGGTTACTCCAGGGCTGTGCAGGAGAACCGGGGCGGGGACGAGGAGGTTGTCAGTCGGCAGGAGGACCCTCCCGCGGCCCCGCCCACCGCGCCTCCCGCGGGCCCCACCCGCCCCGCTCAGCCTGTGTCATGATCTGGGGTCTGGTGCTGCATGAAGAAAGACTGGTCCTCCAGCTGGACTGTGACAAAGGAGGCTGAAAAGGAATCCCCGGGTGGACAGGCTTAGGGGTGCGCCTGTGAGAACCCAGACATCTGGTGGCTGGGTCCGGACTGGTCCTGGCTCCGGAAATTTGACTTCTGAGAGTCTAATCTGATGCAACAGGCAAGACTCCAGACTCTTGTTCTCCGTCTGGGAGCACCTGGCCAGAGCACCTGACCTAGTAACAAGGTCTTGAAGATCCCTGGGAATTCCTAGTCTGATGGAAGAGACATGACCTTTGACTCTGGGAGATAACAATCTGATGGAGAAGACATGGCCTTGGACTCTGGGCGGTACCAGTTTCATGGAGAAGACATAGCCTTGAGCTATAAGAGAGCATGGTCCCTGACTGGGAACTCCTAGCCTGATGGAGGAGACAAGGTCCCAGTCTGATGGAGGAGACATAGCCCTGACTCTGGGAGCCCCCAGTCTGATGGAAGAGACATGGTTCTTGATTCTGG